TGCCGGGGCACATTCCCTGCCTGCAGCATTGCTGAGCATTGTCCCTGCTGAGGGTCACACACTGCCGGGGCACATTCCCTGCCTGCAGCATTGCTGAGCATTGTCCCTGCTGAGGGTCACACACTGCCGGGGCACATTCCCTGCCTTCAGCATTGCTGAGCATTGTCCCTGCTGAGGGTCACACACTGCCGGGGCACATTCCCTGCCTGCAGGATTCGTGCCTGACCCAAGCACTGCACTGATGGCTCCACTGCTGCTTTCCAGCAAAAACAGGGGAAGGAAAACTGTGTGCAGCTCATGGTATTTTGGAGTGCCTAAAACTCGCTAAGTCATCGATCTTAGAAGTGGGATGCATTGTGAATTAATAGCATGGAGAAATAGTGTAAGATGGAAAAGGGGAGCATAAAAATAAATTGAGGAAAATATTTCAGATGATTCCTTACCATTTTCATTTCAGTTCTGGAAAGCTGGTTCAGTTTTCCAGGAATCTTCTCTGTAATCCTGTCTGCTCTTTTCAAAAACATTTCCTGGAGAATGAGGTCGAACTCCTGTCACAAGATGTGCCACCACCTGCAGCTTCTCTTGGCTTTCCACACTGTGCATGCAGCAGGACTCTTGCAGCAAAGCAGGACAAAAGTTTTGAGGACTTGAAAACTTGTCCTTTCTTTTCCTGGTAGATCGGGCAGTTGTGCCGTGGGTAAGGTTTTATATTGTTACTGTTCCAGGCTAAGGAAACAGGAGGTGGTACCAGGAATTATTAGGTAATACAAGCCTGGCTGAATGCAGAGAAAGAATTTCCAGAACCTGCAGCCACAAGTGGAGAGTTGTGTGATAATCATTCCAACCTGTCAGTGGACATCTTGATAATGATCTGGAATGTGAAAATGGTCTGACAGAGGGAGTTTGTTTCTGAGTTCAGTGGGGACGATTCCACATCTGGTGCCTTGGTGCATAAATCAAGAGCAAAATCAATTCATGATAAGCACCAGACCAAGCTGGACCTCCCAGAGTAACTGACTAAAAGAATCTGAAAAGGAGAAATGCAGAGAATACTTGGTGAACCTTGCCTGGAAGATGGGTGATTTTTTTCTAATAACTACTAATCCATTTTGGCTTTTGACTTTCTTAGCAAGGCCATTTGCATCCCAGATTTGCCATGAAGGGAGAAGCGTGAGCTTGTGAAAGTGCCTGAAAGACGCCCTGTTCCTCTGCAGGGACACTCAGGCTGGAACAGGAGCTGGAGCCCTCTCTGGGGAAGCCTCCTCCAAGCTGGAATTTGTGCCATGCTGGGAGAGGAGGAGGAGGGGGAGAAGGCTGGCGCTGTGTGGCAGGAGCAGGAGGTTTGGGCCACAGGACATTTCGTCTGCGCCGCTGCCCCGCAATGGGCGGCCGTGCCCGGGGCTCTGGGCCTGGCCCCGCGTGTGCTGAGCTGCCTGGGCTGGGCTCAGGTTCCCGCTGGGCCTGGGCAGAGCCTGGGCTCAAACTGGGGGCAGCAGCAGTGCAAAACACCTCTGGGCATCTGCGTTTCCTGCTGCTGGGAAGGGGCAATGAAGCGAGTTGAGAAGTTCTGGTTTCTGTTTCTCCTGGCGGATTTTTTAATTTAATTCCCCACTATGGAGGCAATTTCTGTGGTGGCCTCTGTCAGTATATTCTATTCCAAGAGCTTCAGCAACAGGGCTGTGTTTGAGCACTGCAAACATGGTCTGTGTGGCTTTAATTCCCCTCGCCTTAGTGCTCAGAGGCTGGAGGGCATTCCAGTATCTGCTGATCTTTATGTCCAAGACAAAAATACTGACTTCACTGTCATGAAAGCACCGTGGGTATAACCAACTGAAAGAGGCACTTGCATTTTTATAGATAAAATTCAGGTGGCAAGCAGAAGAGGGCCAAGAGCAGCCATGATCTGCAATTCCCAAGGCAGAGGCACCAGCAGCCTCCTACTATCAGCTCAGGGTGAGTAAAACAGTGCTGTAAACAGCTCTGGAACCCAATCCTTTCTTCCTCTGAGGGCCAGCTCAGGGCAGCACAGGCGGGCCCTGAGAAGTCAGGGCTGTGTGTGGGTGCTGGCTGCTCTGCTCCAGAATTGAGCTGGAAAAAGCCCTTGGGAGCCGAGGCAGGAGCAGGCGGGAAGGGGCCGGCGCTGCTGCTGCCCCTGGCCGGGAGCCCCGGCTGGGCCGGGCCGGCGCCCCCTGCGCTGCGGCTGCTGCTGCTGCCAGAGCCAGACGGGACTCAGGGACAGGGAATGGACACGGGGGGACAGCAAAGGCCTGGCTGGCTGCTCGTGCCAGCGCCAGCATAGAGCTTCAGCTCACAATGAACCCCGAAGGAAACGCTGGGGAAAGGCTCCATTTCAGGCCGTCTTTACTCATTGCTGGGAAGGGACAGAAATAAAAGGAGAACAAGCAGGGCCCGCCCCCTTCTCCTTTGGGAGGAGCCCCAGGCCTGAGGCTGTGAGGGGCCATGGGGGCCATGAGGGGCTGTGAGGGACACTTAGGAGACATAAGGGTCTGTGAGGGTCTGTGGCTGCCCAGACAGTGCGGGGAACCTAGGGTCCATTGTGGCACAGCAAGGCCTTGTGGAACCAAAGGGACCATGGTGAAACTATGGACCCTCACGGTACCACAGGTCCATTGTTACACAGCAGCCACAGCAGGGCTGCAGAATCAAGGAGATCACTGTGACACTGCACAACCTTATAGAATCAAGGCATCCATGTTACGCTACTGAGCCTCATGGAACCAAAGGTCCATTGTGACACTGTGGAACCAAGGAGACTGTTGTTGGCAGTACAAAAGCTCATGGAACCAAAAGTCCATTGTGACATTGTGGGGCCTCATGGAACCATGGAGACCATTATGACACTTTGGGACCCACTGGAACCAAGGGGCCATTGTGACACTGTGCTGCCTCATGGAATCAAGGAGACCATTGTGAAACTCGGGGGTCCCAAGGAACCAAGGGTCCATGGTGACCTTGTGCAGCCGGGAGTGTCACAGAGAAGCCACTGTGACACAGTGAGGGCGCATGGAGCCAAGGGGCCATGGTGACACATCAGGGCTTTGTGGAACCATGAAGCCATTTTGACATTGCAAGGCCTCATGGAAGCACGGAGCCATTGTGGCACTGCAGAAGCAAGGGGAACATTGTGACACTCCGGGGCCTCATGGACCCAAGGAGACCATTTTGACACTGTGGGGTCCCATTAAACCAAGGGAACATGGAACAGGTCTGGCTAGCTGGGCCTCCTGGGGACCACCTGACAGGTCCAGCTCACCTTGGCATGTTGAGGGCTGCTTTTCATCTGCCCCTGAAGCACTGGGGCTCTGGGCTTTCCATCTTATGGGAGAGAACTGTCCTTTTCCTCCAGGGGCCCATGGCCAAAACTGGGATTCCTTCTCCAATTTTCCTTATATGCACAGATTGTTCCCAGATGAAATCTGCCAGGACAGACAGATCTGGCTGCCTTGGCCACCCAGGGGCCACCTCTCATCTGCCTTTGAAACACTGGGACCATGTGCTTTTCTTTCTTATGGGAAAAAACATCCATCTTGACCAGTCGCTTATGGCCAAAATTGGGCATCTGCCTCCAGAATTCCCTATATCCAAGGATAGCTCCCAGACAAAGCTGCCAGGACTGACAAGTCTGGCGGACCTTGGCTTCCTGAGGGCTGGCCCTCATCTGCCTCTGAAACACTGGGGCTCTGTGATTTCCTTCCTAACGAAAAGGACTTGTCTTCCTGTTCAGGTACCCACAGCCAAATATGAGATTCCACCTTCAAAATGCCCTATGTCCAAGGAGAGTCCCTAGATAAAAGGTGGCAGGACAGAGAGGTCTGGCTGTGTTGACCTAAGGGTGGCCACCTCTCATCTTCTTCCAAAACAATTAGACTTGGCATTTTTCTTTCCTACTGGTAAAAACCATCCATCCTGACCCGGTGCCCATAGCCAAACCTGGAATTCTGCCTCCAAAACTCCGTACATCCAAGGATTGCTCCCAAATGAAAGCCAGACAGGTCTAGATGCCCTTGCCGCTTGGAAGCTGTCCCTCACCTGCCTTGAAACACTGTGGCTTGATGCTTTCCTTCCTATGGAAAAGAACCATCCTTCTTGTCAAGGAGTTCAAGGTCAAAATTGAGATTTCTCCTCTGAAATTTCATATATCCAAGGACTCCTCCATGACAAAAGCTGCCATGACAATCAGGTCTGGCTGGCTTGGGAGCCAGGACAGAAGCCACCTGTCTCCTCATCTGCCTTTGAAACACTTGGGCTCCGTGCTTTCCTTCCTATGAAAAAGAACTGTCATTCTTATCTACAAAGAAATGGTCAAAATTGGGATTCCACCTCCCAAATTCCCTGTATCCAAAGGTTACTTTCATACAAAAGAAACTAGAACAGAGAGGTCTGGCTGACTTAGGCCTCTGATGGCCAGCTTTCATCTGCCCCTCAAATACCGGTGTTCCGTGTTTTCCTTCCTATGTAAAAGAACTGTCCTTCTCCTCCAGGTGTCCATGTCTGAAATTGGGATTCCACCTAAAAAATTATGTATATCCAAGGGTTGCTCCCAGGTAAAATCTGTCAGTACCATCAAATCTGGCTGGCCTTGGCCTCTGGTGATTGCCCCTGCAACACCGGGGCTGGGTTCTTTCCTTCCCATGAAGATCCCTGGGACACTGTGGGGACCTCATGGAACCAATGGGATCATTGTGGCACCACTGGAGCCCATGGAACCAAGGGGCCATGGTAACCCAGCGGGGCTTCATGGAGCACAGAGACCATCATGACTCTGTGGGGCCTGATGGAACCATGGAGACCATTGCGACCCTTCAGGGCCTTGTGTCACCAAAGGGGCATTATGACACCTCAGGTCCTCATGGAAGCAAGGGACCATTGGGACACTGCAGGGCCCCATGGTACCGAGGGAACAGGGAGCAGGTCTGGCTGCAAGCACCGAGCCCGGCCGGGGTCACGGAACCATCTGCAGGGCCCGGGTGAGATATTACCTCTTTCAGTGCTTCCATTCTCCCTCGAGTGAGAGAAAAGAACAAAGTGCAGGCACATACAGGAGCAACAGGAAGACACCAAGGTCATGAAGAAGAAGTCGAGTCCCAGATGGGAGGGATGAGGAGATGTTCTGATCTTGGGGCTGAAATCCTCTTGTAAAGCTATGGAGAAGGATGTAACTGATACATCAGACTCTCTTTTTCCCTGTATCGCATTGAAAATTATGGGGACATGACTTGTTCAGCAAAGGCCTCCATGCTAAAGTAAGCAAATATTGAAGTAGCTGTGATCCCATGAGAAGTTAGAACATTGAAAAAGGGAAGAGTGATGAGATCCTGTGCCTTCACAGGGAGAAGAAAAAGATCTCTGTTCTCAGAGATGAAGATGATTTCAGAAATAGATGAGGAAAACCTTTGCTCTTAAACAGCTCATCTTTAAACTAGTACCCCATAAGTTGACATGGCCCATAAACACATCGGTAAAAGAGCTTTGAAAAACTGGGAGGGATGTCACAATTGCAGATTTTTTTGGGCAGTTGCTATTCATGGAAATTGAGAGTCACAAGAGAAGTGCTTCTTCTGGAGAAGTCTCCATAGCATGACAGAGAGACTCCTCTCCCTAAGTGAACTCAAGAAAGACTATTCTAGTTGGGGTAAACTGACTGAAAATTCTAGGTTTGTCTCTTTATATTGTCAGTAAGAAAGAAAAGGTTGCAGGGAGAGGAGAAGTGTTCTGAAAGTTTTGTTCTTATTACTTTTTCTTTTAGTTGCTATTAATGAACTTTTCCTCATGCCCTCTTAAAGTTTTGAGCCAGCTTTGCTGTTCTCCTAACCTTATCACACAAGAGGAAATGAGTAAGTGTATTCTACTGACTGCACTGGTAATTACCCAATACTGAACCCACTACAATAATTGCTGCATTCTCCAAGAAATCTCAAATTGGTGAATGAAAACCACTACAGAAATATTTCTGATGAACTGCATTAGAGCAGAGGGAAATCAAGGCAGAGCCATGGTTTGCCAGGACTTGTTTGATCCTAATCAGCCACACGGTGCATTTGGAGCGAGCCCTGGAATCTCAGGGCCTGAGAGGAGATTACACAAACCTTTCCAGGAGTCAAAGTTAGAAGAAAACCCCAAAGTGTCTCAAAGCATGGATGGGTCCCACTGAGGTCCATCCCCTACACAGGCTCCTCATGGACTCCTTGGAGGACAGAACTGGAGGCCAGGATGGCACAAAAACTTCTAAGAGATTCAGTGTGGAAAGGAAAATCCAAAGTACTTTAAAAACCTTGAGTACTTCAAAGTATTAATAGGCACCACTGAGTGTCAGTACAAACCTCTCCAGGGACTCGTTAAAGCAGATAATTGGGGCCATGATTGCACAAACTTCTCACAGAGTCTGCATCAAAAGGGAAACACCAAGTACCTTAAAATAACTGAAGTAACTTGAAGCATTAGTGAGCCCACTTAGTGTTACTGACAAAGCCTCTCCAGGGACTCATTACAGCAGATAATTGGAGGCTATGATTGCACAAAGCTCTCAGAGACTCCAAGGCAAAAGCCAAACCCAAAGTCCTTTGAAAAACTCTGCGAGCATTAAAGACCCCCCCAGGGCCATTGCTGAGCAAGGCTCCCCAGGGACTCTTTCCAGCAGATCCTTGAGGCCACTGGGATGTGGGCTAGGGGGGGATGCTGAGGGCAGGACAAGGGGCTGACAGTGCCCAGCCTGGCTGAGGCTGTGCCAGGAGGCCCCAGGGCCTCAGGACAAGGTGTCTCCTCACAGCCCTGGGTGGCACAGACCCTGCTGTGCCCCAGGCACCAAGACTTGGCTTCTCTTGGTCCCCACCTGTCATCACTGCCTCCAGTTCTCTGCTCTGCCTGGGGCCTGGGGACACTTCTTCAGTTGTATGCCTCAGTGGGACCCATTAAAAGTTACAGAAACTTTGGAGTTGGATTCTGACTTGGAGTTCTGGAGAGGTTTCTTCTGCTCCCTCTCAGGGACTGATGTTCAGGGCCTGAGCACAAAGCCCCAGAGGCTCATTACAGTCCTTGTGCTGTGTCTGTGCTGCTGAGCTGGGCTGGGCTCCTGGCACACAGGCAGCTCCTGGTAACCAAGAAGAGCTTCAAAAGCACATTTCTCCTGATGAGCAGCTCTTCTGCCAGCCCAGCAGGGCTGGGGCACTGCCTGCAGCCAGCCCAGGCACAGCACAGAGGCACAGAGAGCTTCAATCAGTCACGGCTGGGAAGGTGCTGAGAAGTGCCTGGCGCAGAATCACTGGCAGCACTTGGCACAGGAACCTCTGGCTGCAGGACAATACAGCTGCAGCTCCTGGAGCCATATCTTAAAGCTGGAGCATCCCATTACATACAGACTCGGTGAGTGCAACTCTGGATATTTCTGGTGCTGGGGAGGTGAAATGCTCATGAAAATCTGACATGCTGAGGGCTTCTGATTAGTCATAAAATATTTCCAAGTCAAGGATTTTGATAAAAATGAGGAAAATTTCTAAGACTATGTAGTCAGTTTCCTACTATTGCAGAATGAAAGGTAGTGGGGATGAATATTACAGGTTGATTGTGACGTATTTAATATGAATTTTGACAAGTGCCTGAGACATCTGAATTGTTACTTTTTGTGATCAATAGGTTCACAGGAATTTCCTAATGTGCTTTCAATACGTTAACAGGAAATCCCTAATATGCTTTCAGCTGTGCCCAAGGACAGCACCAGCATCACCTTTTTGCTCTTAACTTTCATGCTCAGTCTGAGCTGTCCTTTCTCCCAGCTGCAAACAGAACCTGCCCCAAGCCAGTGCCCTGCCAACAGGCAGGGTTCTGTCAGGCCAGGGAGAGTGCACAGAGATTTGGGGTCTGTGAGTGCTGGCAGGGAGAGATCAGGCACAGGGAAACACCTGCAGCAGGGAAATCTCCAGGAAGCAGAGAGATGATCAGGCAATGAGAGAAAACAAACCCCAGCAATGCTGTGGCAGGGAGAGTTTAGAGATGTCCACAGGATCCCCTCCAGTGCAGCCCCTCCCTCTGAACAAGCCCCCTCCCTCCTGTGCCCCAGCCCAGCCTCTGCCCTCAGGGCTGGGGCTCCAAGGCGTGCAGCCCCACCTGTGCAGGCAGAACTGCAGCAGAGCCGTGGGGCAGCTCTGCAGCCCCGGGCTCAGTTCCCTCTGCAGAGCACAGGGCTGGGAGCATCTGCCCGGCCCTGGGGGCTCTGGCAGGGGGCACCGCTGGCTCAGGGTGATGCTGTCCCCAGTGCCCGGCTCTGAGCAATGCTGTCAGTGCAGCCAGGGAAGGAGCTGCATCTTCCTCAATCCAGTGCCATCATAAGGACACTTGGAAGTGTCCCTGAGATTTCAGTCCAAGCTGGGAGCTTCAATCCAGGATGCAAACCTGTCCTAGAACAACGTTGAGTTATAGGATTGATGGGGAAAGGCAGAGGTGTTCTGACACTGAAAGTGCTGCTGGGTTGGTGGAATGAGCAATGTGAGTCCTTGGCTACAAATGTGGAGCTGGGCTGTGGTGGATCCATCTGCTCTCAGCAGTACCTGGGGTTTGGTAAGAGAAACTTGGGAGTGTGAGCATTCTCCATTTAAGAAATTAAAAGCCCAGAGAAACTCAAAACAGAATGAAGTGACAGATCATCTGCCCCCAGTCTGCACTCACCATCTGGCTGCAGGGAACTCACTTTGTTCTACCAGAGGGCGGAAGAAATGCTGAGTGTATCTGATATTGAAGAAGAACAGGACAGACGTGGGGGGAGCTCAAAAAGAAAACCTCACAACTCTTAAACACAAAACAGTGTCTGTGTATGTTACAGTGGAGGCTGTATGGGAAATGGCTTTGATTTTGGTTACAGATATCTCCTCTGACTCGTCACTGTCCCTTTCTCCATGAACAGATCCCAATGTCAAGGAACAGCAAATGTCCAACAGCAGCTCCATCAGGCACTTCCTCCTGCTGGCATTGGCAGACACGCGGCAGCTGCAGCTCCTGCACTTCTGCCTCTTGCTGGGCATCTCCCTGGCTGCCCTCCTGGGCAACGGCCTCATCATCAGCGCCGTAGCCTGCGGCCACCACCTGCACACGCCCGTGTTCTTCTTCCTGCTCAACCTGGCCCTCAGCGACCTGGGCTGCATCTGCACCACTGTCCCCAAAGCCATGCACAATTCCCTCTGGGACACCAGGGACATCTCCTACTCAGGATGTGCTGCACAGGTTTTCTTCTTTCTCTTCTTCATTGGAGCAGAATTTTCCCTCCTGACCATCATGTGCTACGACCGCTACGTGTCCATCTGCAAACCTCTGCACTACGGGACTCTCCTGGGCAGCAGAGCTTGTGCCCACATGGCAGCAGCTGCCTGGGCCAGTGCCTTTCTCAGTGCTCTCATGCACACAGCCAATACATTTTCCCTGCCCCTGTGCCATGGCAATGCCCTGGGCCAGTTCTTCTGTGAAATCCCACAGATCCTCATGCTCTCCTCCTCCAAATCCCTCCTCAGGGAAGTTGGACTCATTGCTGTCAGTGCCTGTTTAGCACTTGGCTGTTTTGTGTTCATTGTTTTCTCCTATGTGCAGGTCTTCAGGGCTGTGCTGAGGATCCCCTCTGAGCAGGGACGGCACAAAGCCTTTTCCACCTGCCTCCCTCACCTGGCTGTCGTCTCCCTATTTATCAGCACTTGCACATTTGCCTACCTGAAGCCGCCCTCCATCTCTTCCCCATTGCTGGATCTGGCCCTGTCAGTTCTGTACTCGGTGGTGCCTCCAGCCCTGAACCCCCTCATCTACAGCCTGAGGAACCAGGAGCTCAAGGCTGCAGTATGGAGACTGATGACTCGATGGTTTCAGGAACATTAAACTACAGGCCAGTGTTTGCAAATCACTTGTAATAAAAGTAATCTTTGATACTTCTTCTTGGCTCCATTTTAGAGTTCCTTTACTTTGTTTTACTTTTTTCCCATTGTCCAAAAAAAAATGTCATTGTTTGTTCCATTGGTCATTTTGT